GTACCTTGCCAAAAAAAAAACTCAACGCAGCATAATTCTCATTAACTAATTATCAGTGTTACTTGCGTATGTCAATGTAGGTCATTACTGGTACACGCCTGACCAACTAAAACTTTAAAATTGAAAAATCAGAGTCAAGATTTTCAGAGCAGCAGAAACAGTAGAATTTGTCATGTAAATCTAATGATATGTACCGTAGTTGAGAATACATGTACTCTAAATGTTGCATATATAAAAAATAAAAAAGCAAAAAGTTCTCTTGTTTTCAGAATTTATATTTACATGTGAAAAAAAAGAAATTTAAAGGAGGTTGATATAGTTGGTGTGATGAGATGTTGGCAGGAACCTAGTAAAATGAAAGGAAGAACTTCCTTAAAATGATACTTGTGGGGGACAGTGTCTCATGGGGGGGGGGGGGGCATTGTTTCAACTGACTTTACAGAATACAAAAGATCCATTGCAAACCTAATTATTAATTATATGCGAAACACTATGTTTAAAGTTTTCCATTGTTGGATATTTATGTTTAAATCCAAGATAACTTACCCAAGAGGATGTGATTTTTAGCTCACCTGAGCCAAAGGCTCAAGTGAGCTTTTCTGATCACAATTTGTCCGTTGTCTGTCGTCGTTGTCGTCGTAGTCGTCGTTGTCGTTGTTGTAAACTTTTCACATTTTCATCTTCTTCTCAAGAACCACTGGGCCAATTTCAACCAAACTTGCTACAAAGCATCCTTGGGTAAAGGGGATTCTAGTTTGTTCAAATGAAGGGCCAGGCCCTTTTCCAAGGGGAGATAATTATGAATTAGAGAAAAATTAATGGCATTTTAAAAAAATCTTCTTCTCAAGAACCACTGGGCCAGGAAAGATGAAACTCATGTGGAATCATCCTCAGGTAGTATGGATTCAAGTTTGTTCAAATCATGACCCCCGGGGGTAGGGTGGGGCCAAAATGGCCGATCAAAGTTTTACATAGGAATATATAGGAAAAAACTTTTAAAATCTTCTTCTCAAGAACCACTGGGCCAGGAAAGATGAAACTCATGTGGAATCATCCTCAGGTAGTGTAGATTCAAGTTTGTTCAAATTATGACCCCCGGGGGTAGGATGGGGCCAAAATGGCTGATCAAAGTTTAACATAGGAATATATAGGAAAAATCTTTAAAAATCTTCTTCTCAAGAACCACTGGGCCAAGAAAGATGAAACTCATGTGGAATCGTCCTCAGGTAGTGTAGATTCAAGTTTGTTCAAATCATGACCCCCGGGGGTAGGGTGGGGCCAAAATAGGCCGAATCCAAGTTTTACATAGGAATATATAGGAAAAAACTTTAAAAATCTTCTTCTCAAGAACCACTGGGCCAGGAAAGATGAAACTCATGTGGAATCATCCTCAGGTAGTGTAGATTCAAGTTTGTTCAAATTATGACCCCCGGGGGTAGGATGGGGCCAAAATGGCTGATCAAAGTTTAACATAGGAATATATAGGAAAAATCTTTAAAAATCTTCTCAAGAACCACTGGGCCAAGAAAGATGAAACTCATGTGGAATCGTCCTCAGGTAGTGTAGATTCAAGTTTGTTCAAATCATGACCCCCGGGGGTAGGGTGGGGCCAAAATGGCCGATCAAAGTTTTACATAGGAATATATAGGAAAAAACTTTAAAAATCTTCTTCTCAAGAACCACTGGGCCAGGAAAGATGAAACTCATGTGGAATCATCCTCAGGTAGTGTAGATTCAATTTTGTTCAAATTATGACCCCCGGGGGTAGGATGGGGCCAAAATGGCTGATCAAAGTTTTACATAGGAATATATGGGAAAAATCTTTAAAAATCTTCTTCTCAAGAACCACTGGGCCAAGAAAGATGAAACTCATGTGGAATCGTCCTCAGGTAGTGTAGATTCAAGTTTGTTCAAATCATGACCCCCGGGGGTAGGGTGGGGCCAAAATGGCCGATCAGAGTTTTACATAGCAATATATAGGAAAAATCTTTAAAAATATTCTTCTCAAGATCCACTGGGCCAGGAAAAAAATGAAACTCATGTGGAATCATCCTCAGGTAGTGTAGATTCAAGTTTGTTCAAATTATGACCCCCGGGGATAGGATGGGGCCAAAATGGCTGATCAAAGTTTTACATAGGAATATATAGGAAAAATCTTTAAAAATCTTCTTCTCAAGAACCACTGGGCCAAGAAAGATGAAACTCATGTGGAATTGTCCTCAGGTAGTGTAGATTCAAGTTTGTTCAAATTATGACCCCTGGGGGTAGGATGGGGCCAAAATGGCTGATCAAAGTTTTACATAGGAATATATAGGAAAAATCTTTAAAAGTCTTCTTCTCAAGAACCACTGGGCCAAGAAAGATGAAACTCATGTGGAATTGTCCTCAGGTAGTGTAGATTCAAGTTTGTTCAAATCATGATCCCCGGGGGTAGGATGGGGCCAAAATGGCCGATCAAAGTTTTACATAGGAAAATATAGAAAAAATCTTTAAAAATCTTCTTCTCAAGATCCACTGGGCCAGGAAAGATGAAACTCATGTGGAATCTTCTTTTTAAGTACTTCAAAGCCATTCTTAGCGATATTTATAGGGAATCGTCCTCAGGTATTGTAGATTCTAGTTTGTTTAAATCATGACCCCCCGGGGGGATGGTAAAATTCAAGCCTCCTTCCCATTCCCCCCCCCCCCCCCCCCCCCCCCCCCCCGGAATACTTTCAGTTCTGATTTGTGCTTTTTCCTAGCCAATTGCTCAGGTGAGCGATTTGGCCCCTGGGCCTCTTGTTAGCTCACCTGAGCCAAAGGCTGTCTGTCCGTCTGTCTGTCTGTCTTCTTCTCAAGAACCTCTGGGCCAGTAAAGCTGAAACTTATGTGGAAGCATCCTGGGGTAGTGTAGATTCTAAATTATTCACATCATGACCCCCGGGGGAAGGGCCGGGCCACAAAGGGGAATCAAAGTTTTACATAGAAATATATAGGAAAAATCTTTGAAAATCTTCTTCTCAAGAACCACTGGGCCAGAAAAGCTGAAGCTTATGTGGAAGCATCCTGGTATAGTGTAGATTCTAAATTGTTCACATCATGACCCCCGGGGGAATTATAGGGGAATCAAAGTTTTACATAGAAATATATAGGAAAAATCTTTGAAAATCTTCTTCTCAAGAACCACTGGGCCAGAAAAAGTGAAGCTTATGTGGAAGCATTCTGGGGTAGTGTAAATTCTAAATTGTAGGAATCATGACCCCTGGGGAAGGGCGGGGCCATTATAGGGGAATCAAAGTTTTATATAGAAATATAAAGGAAAAATCTTTGAAAATCTTCTTCTCAGGAACCACTGGGCCAAAAAGCTGAAACATATGTGCCCATGGAAGGATCATATGGGGTAGTGTAGATTTCAAAATGTCTAAATTATGATCAGTGGGGTAGGGTGGGGATGCATTATGTATAACAAGGGGGAAATCTGGTAAAGAACAGAATGGTCAAAGCTTTTCAGGTGAGCGATGTGGCCCATGGGCCTCTTGTTTTTTAAACCAATGTAATTTTTCTCAAGTTTAAAGCAGTGTTTCATAAGTTTTAATGAAAAAATCAGAAGGGGGGGGGGTTAAATTTTTGACTTCATTCAAAGTATCTGTGGTTTGCAGTTGCCCATGAATTTAATAAATAATTATACAAAGTAACAAGTTGAAATGAGTAAAATATTATGAATGTCCTGCTTGTTTTAGTTTCATTTCAGAATTTTTCAAGTTTGACCAAATCTTGAAAAAGTAAAAGCCACAAGGTTTTGCAATTATTTGACATAGCATTACAAAATGCATTATATTTTTGCAACATCATAAAGATGCAAATATAAGATGCCAAAAAATTTAGGTCACATTTACATTTAACTCATTACACATGTTTTATAAAAGAGTAAATAAGTGTAGTTTTGGGAATATTGTTATGTTAAACGCAGCCATTTTGGCGAAAAATCTGGTATTCCTGTCTCTATGGTAACATCTTGCATTCCTGTTTCCATAGTAATAGAGAATGGATAGGGAAATTTTTATTTCATATTATTTTCAATCTAAGGAGATAGTTTCAGGAAACTTGAAACATGCCCTGGTTAGTCTACATGTACTTCAAAATTGTCAATTTTACAGAAAGGGGGGGGGGGGCATTTTGTGCAGGTGTTCACAGTTCTCCTATCTAAGAACATATTTACATGTATTAATGCTCTTGGAAATGGGATGTGAATATTTTTACATGACACTTCTCCTAGATATGGACCAATTTTACTGTAAATGACATCAAAACAGGTAGAAAGGAACATTTCTTTTCTATATGAACTTTATTAATAATGAAATGTGAATATGTTCCTTGAAATACGGAAATTTTGCAGATTTTGGGTAATTTTTCATCAGCTTTTTAAAAAAAAAATTCTAGGTGTCCCATAAATATTTTAATGTGTTTAAACTAACTTATGTACCATCTATACAATGCACTGTTTCCTGAATTTCAAATCAGTGTGCAAAGTATTAAAAAATCGCTTTGAAAAAGGGTCTAAAATGGCAATTTTCTCAATTTGGCAAAATGCCAAAATCCCCAAAGCTAAGCGTTGTTAAGCCATTATGTAGAATTACAGTTTTTAAAAAATTATGTTGTTATACTAGAGAGGAATAATGGTAGTTTTGAAACAAAAGTAGATTTTCCCATTCTCTTGTTTCTTTTAAGCTCATTTTTATTCAGTAAAACCTACAAAATCACGTTTTTTGGTCAAATTTTAGGAAGAATTTACAGGGGAAACAATAGGTGCCCTTACCATGGCAACGAGACATTTTTTGAAATAAAAAACTATAAAACCATTAATGATATGACAATGTGAGTACACACAAAAAGTTTCATAGAAATTGAAAATGTAGCGTGGCCAAGCATTTTTGATATTGTTTGATAATTACAGAGAATTGATATTAAGATTTTCTGTAAAGGTTAAGAAATTTTTCATTGTTTTTCTTGTTCGTTTACAGGGTACTTGGAACATCTGGCCAACCGATCCAGGATATCATTAAATACAGCACCAACGAGGAACCACTCGACATCCTAGAGAAGAACTTGGAGTGGGGGCATCTAGCACCCACTGCTCCAGACACACTCGGTAGATTGATTCTTTTTCTTGTATAAAATATCATTGAAAAAATTGAGATTTTTTTTCCATGTTCACACTGCGTGTACTTCCATTCGTGGAAAAAACATTGGCAATTTTTCATTTGTTCAACATTGTTTTAATACAAAGTATCATCGAAGGAATGAATTGAAAATTTGTTCATGTTTATTTTTTTTTTCACACTGTGAGTACTCCCATTCATGAAAAATTATTTCATTTGTTTGTCATGCCATTGGTGTAAATTCTGTGCCTGTAGTAGTCATTTTGGAGAATTTTAGTCAGTTCAATAACAGTGGATTTGCACTTCCTTAAATAATATTAAAAAGTTAACGAAAACTTTGGTTTCTTTTTTACATTTATACATAGTTTCATTCAAAAATAAAAGTGACTGAGATTGGGTATAGACAAAGCCTATTTTAACTCTTTCCTAGGTTCCTTTATAAAGTAAATGTAGGTCAAAATGTTTGGAATCGTTTTGAATCCTTTCCAGGTTGTTATCCCTTTTACAAAGAGGACCCCTTCATCATTGAAGATTGTCCACACATACTGTTCGCTGGAAACATGACAAAGTTCGACTCCAAAATGTTCAAAGGTAAGTCACGTTGAGACCCCAAAATAGTGTACACTGATTCTATTCGTAGAAGTTTAAAATTATCAGTATAATTGTGCTGTTTACTTGATGCATTCATATTAGTTTGTTTATTTGTGTTTTCATTCAAACTGCACATTTCTCACATGAAAATATCAATTTAAACAATTGAATTACCAGAAGATTATTTAAGACTCGAAGTTTTCTACCTTCAATTCAAGAATCTATCTTAATCCAGAAAAAATCACACAGCCTAACTTTTGCTGGTGAAGGGCATCTTGGCGTGTGATTTAGTCGTGCAATGACTTCTGACCCCTTACTAAGTTCATACAGAATCTTCAATAGGTTTATCTAAGAATATTTACATTTCCAAATAAATTTCCTTAAAGGCCGAGGTTTTCAACCGTACGGTTTTCCTAAGGTAAGTTTGGTGTGGGGTGGAGCTTAATCGAAGCAGCTGAGAAGCCCCGAGGAAACGAAGCTGGCTTGTGTATACTACCTATATACACAGGATGTTACCTGAGTGTATTACCTGTATGGGTTTTCCCACGACTATGTAAACCGAGGCCGTTTTTTTTTTTTCAAGTTTAGCTCATGTAATGAAATGTGAAATAAAGCATTTTTTGTTGAAGGTTGAAGGTTTTGTTGAATTCTTCTCAATTTCTTTCTTTTAAAATAATTCATATTTTTAATAATTCGACATTTTTTATATACAGTGTGTTTCTTAATGAAGTGTTATAACGAAAATACATTTAGCACCAAAATCTGTCATTGTAATCTGGCGACAAAAAGGGAAGTAATTCAAATTCCACGTCGTCTACGCAAAACGAAAGAAGAAAGTGAATCATAAAACAGTCTCTCGGTAAATAACAATGAAACTTAGAAACGATGTTTTGAGAATAAAATGTTAAAGTAAAGGTATTATTGTCTAAATAAATATCTTTTTAAGATAAACCCTACTTGATTTTTCCATAACGCATGGTCCGTAAAAATGGCCAAAGCTTCAGACCGGGTTGATTCCCCGACAGCTATGAAACGAGAATGAAATCATCTGCATCGGTTTTTTTCTCTTTCGGGGTTCATTAGTAATTTCAAACATGAAATACAAAGCAAGATGTTATATTCCGAGTAATTTCTCTTCTAAAACTTATTATTATACCGTAACTTCGTCACCATGTCTCGAAGAAAAGCGACACGTACAGGTTTGTCTTATAAAATATAAATTCGCTTGACTCATGTCGGAACAATGTTACAATGTTGTCATACTTGTTTTAAAAAATAATTTTATTTAATTCCATGATACTAGCTTCAAACGCAGGTCGGTTTATTTTGTTAATTAGTGGAGGAATAAAGGTATGTTAACTCATGTTTTGGCACGGAAATTAAAAATAAGTATCGATTGTAATCGTAATATAAAATCCTCTATTTTAAAATTAAATTAAAAATATATATTATATAGCCATTATTTCTCTTGTCATTTATTTAATTATTCGATAGATTGATTATATTTATGGCATATTCTTATGAATTAAAAAAGAAAAGAATGATTTGATTGCTTCTTTATCACATTGGCATGTGCGGTAGGCATCAAAACATCAAAAGCGTGAAAGTTAATTCGATGGTCGGTACAATCTCCAGACAAGGTACACAAGATATACACAACAGCAGCAAACTAAATGTCAATCAAATCAAAGTATCCAATCCCAGGCTTAATTTCAGATGATTGACAGGGGTTCTAAGACCAGGTAAATTTGAAGGAGGTGCTTATTTCCTCGCCCTTTAAGACTCTTTGCAAATAGGAAGACTGTTGCTTTTTTCATGAACTTCCATGGATGAGCATGAATATCTCCTTGTTACGTCATAATACCGCACTTGACGTCAAAACTATAGTGCAAACTGTTTTGCTTTAAAAATTTACAGTTGAATTGCTTAAATTCTGTGGGAATTTAGGCCATTATAAAAATATTCCTAGATTCTCATCCCCGCCCGCCCCGATTTTATACCCCCGCCTCGATTTTTTTTTTATTTCTGTTTTTCTTCATCTTAATTCTGATCGGGATCGGTATTCATCTACCATTCTACTTTCGTTTTAAATCCCGCGAAAGTCGACATGATTTTGACAGCTGAAAAGAGGGTAATTGCTGTAATACATGTGTATATATATTAAACAAGGGTCATTGGTTGAAAAAGATTGGTGATGATGTGAAGTAAGAGATAATTGAACCTTTACTATGACTTTTAGTTGGGTGTTGTAGATAAAATTACACCGATTGACCAGGTCAATAAAAATCTGCAAAATTGAAAAAAATAGAAAATTTAAAATAAAAGCCGCCCGCCCGCCTCGATTTTGAAAAAAAATTTGGATGAGAATCTAGCAATTTATTTATTATGGCCTTATGAATGAATTTATTTTTTGAAGATTCATGAGGTATATGAACTACATGGATTATGCTTCTTGAAATATGCCAGCGTGAAGTGTTGTAGTTCATAACCTCATGAATCTTCAAAAATTAAATTCATTTCTTAAATGAAAATATTTGCTTTTGTAGCTGGGCATCTCCTACTCCCCTACTTAACATTTTAAATCCATCCCTCAGTTTTTACTTAGCCTAACTTTTGCTGTTGTAGGGCCTGGAGGACAGGAGGTTCTTTTGGTGAGTGTTCCTCGGTTCTCACAAACAGCTACAGCAGTGATGGTCAATCTCAAAACTCAGGACTGCCATCCCATTCAGTTCTCAGCCTCCTTTACATCATCAGAACCCAATAGATAGCAGTAGAACATTTAGATCTATTTATATACAAAATTAAATGTAAAAAATATGTGTTTTTGTTTTTCTTTTTTGAGATTAAGTGTGGGTCTGAAGTGATCGGATCAGACAGTTTCTGTATTGTCTTGATATGGTTGTATATGAGATAAATTGTCTGAAAGGAGGATCGTAAGGGTGTGTTGATGTTTATCAATATCCACTAAATAGTATCAAAACATGAAGTCATACAGTTTTCAAAAAGTTATCTTGAATACAACATTGATTACATCACCATTGCTTGTAATCAGGAAAATACAATATAACTAAATACTAATGATTACAAATCAGTCTGTAATTGATTACAATGTGATTACTTTTTACATCCTTGATGTTTATGAATGAATTAATGAGATGAAAGGAATACAGGGGGCATTAGAAACACACATCAGAAAGGGATTCCTGAAATGTGTTCATAAAAGTGAATTTTGTTAATCATATGGGTACAGAAAGCATTTCTTAACAGTTTAGAAATATGTAAAACAAAAAGCCTATTGGTCACATTGCTCATCTGTCACACTGACTAGGAAAAGACAGAAATCGGATCGGTATTGAAAAATTAATGGGGGGGGGCAAAACTTGAATTTCCACTACCTCAACTTATCATGGTTTCTCCGTTCTTGAGCAGAACTGATTCATAAAGACTTTTTCCCTATGTATTCCTATCTATTTAAAACTTGAATCACTCATTGTGATCCTACCTTAACCATCCTTAATTTGAACCTTGGTACTTGAGAATCATGTAGAAGTAAAATAATTAGGATTTACTGCATTACTTCATTTATTTTATATAGGGGAGATAGATCCATTCAGTGCTAAAGAAAATGAATGATTTTTTCCTCTTTTTTCAAACATTTATGAATAATTCTGGTAGATTTCCTTGTGAAAGTTGTAAATGAGTATTTAAAGTTACACAGTCATTCAGGGACCTAATACCGAGTCATACAGGGTGTGAAATGGAAATCCGTATTGGGAGTCATACAGGGTGAATAACGGAAATCCATATTTGGCGATGCGAAGCCAAGTCCCAATACGGATTTCCATTTCACACCCTGTATGACTCCATATTAGGTCCCTAACTGACTGTGTTATGAATTTATCCCGCTGAAGACCTTTTTAAATATTATAAAATATATGTGCATATAATGAAAATATCAAGTTTTAATCCAATAACAATCAACAAAAAATATCGTAACAAGAACTTGACCTTGTGACCTTGACTGTTACCTATATACTGAGTACTAAAAATAGCTTTTATGAACTTTTGCCAGAACTTTTGAATCGTAGGAGATAAAGACTTTATATTTGTTATGCATACTCCACTAATAAAGTTCTTTCAAATGACACCAAGGGCAGTGACCTTGTGACCTTGATTGTGACCTATTTGCTAAAAATAGCCTTTTCAAACTTTGTTGGTACCAGGGACATAGTGTTTACAAACACATCTTGTGGCTCGAGCTCTTTAATTCTATTGGTGTGCGCAATAATTATTGCTCTTTTCAAAATAGTTACATTTAATGTCACAAATCTGATTTATGCAGCAACAAATCTTGTAGAGAGTGAGAGAGCAGTTATTTCATTTTGAGACTTGATACCTGCATTTATTTCTCCAACAAAATGATATATTTAAGATATCTTGACTTAAAGTAAGGGATCAACAGATGAATTCAATTAATGCTCCTGTGAATTCAGATTGATTCACATATCTTTCAACTGAAGATAGAATTAATTTTAAGTAGAATTGTTGTTTATAGAAGTTTAAACTACTTGGTAATTTTCAAGCAACAAGACTGCTAAACTAGTACTTCAATTGAAAGATGTTTTTCAATTTTGAATTCAACAAGAGCATTTAATTGAACTGATGCGTGCATAAAATCAATAATTGCTCCTGAGAATTGAAACTCCGTATCCATATGCGTCAAATGATTTCTTTAATTCAGCCTTGATGAGTATACATATTTTTTTCTCTTTAATTCAGCCTTGATGATATACATATTTTTTTCTCTTTAATTCAGCCTTGATGAGTATACATATTTTTTTGTATGTGGACATAATTAAATCACTGGGAGTAATTAATTGATTTGATGCATTCTTCGGTTATTTGGTAAGCATCATGATTTTTAAGAAAATGAATGCTAGTGTTTGTCATACGATTCCTTCACATTCCGATAAACCAATTTTTAGCTCACCTGAGCCGAAGGCTCAAGTGAGCTTTTCTGATCACATTTTGTCCGTCGTCCGTCCGTCCGTCCGTCTGTCTGTCCGTCCGTCTGTAAACTTTTCACATTTTCGACTTCTTCTCAAGAACCACTGGGCCAATTTTGACCAAACTTGGTACAAAGCATCCTTGGGTGAAGGGGAATTCAAATTGTTAAAATGAAGGGACATATCCCCTCGTAAGGGGAGATAATCAAGAAAAGACAAAAATAGGGTTGGGTCATTAAAAAATCTTCTTCTCAAGAACCACTGAGCCAGTAAAGCTGAAACTTATGTGGAAGCATCCTGGGGTAGTGTAGATTCTAAATTGTTCAAATCATGACCCACTGGGAAAGGGCGGGGCCACAATGGGGAATCAAAGTTTTACATAGAAATATATAGGAAAAATCTATGAAAATCTTCTTCTCAAGAACCACTGAGCCAGAAAAGCTGAAACTTATGTGGAAGCATCCTAGTATAGTGTAGATTCTAAATTGTTCACATCATGACCCCCGGGGGAAGGGCGGGGCCACAATGGGGAATCAAAGTTTTATATAGAAATATAAAGGAAAAATCTTTGAAAATCTTCTTCTCAAGAACCACTGGGCCAGAAAAGCTGAAACTTATGTGGAGGCATCCTGGTATATTGCAGATTCTAAATTGTTCAAATAATGACCCCCGGGGGAAGGGCGGGGCCACAATGAGGAATCAAAGTTTTATATAGAAATATATAGGAAAAATCTTTGAAAATCTTCTTCTCAAGAACCACTGGGCCAGAAAAGCTGAAACTTATGTGGAAGCATCCTGGTATAATGTAGATTCTAAATTGTTCAAATAATGACCCCCGGGGGAAGGTCGGGGCCACAATGGGGAATCAAAGTTTTACATAGAAATATATAGGAAAAATCTTTGAAAATCTTCTTCTCAAGAACCACTGAGCCAGTAAAGCTGAAACTTATGTGGAAGCATCCTGGGGTAGTGTAGATTCTAAATTGTTCAAATCATGACCCCCCGGGAAAGGGCGGGGCCACAATGGGGAATCAAAGTTTTACATAGAAATATATAGGAAAAATCTATGAAAATCTTTTTCTCAAGAACCACTGAGCCAGAAAAGCTGAAACTTATGTGGAAGCATCCTAGTATAGTGTAGATTCTAAATTGTTCACATCATGACCCCCGGGGGAAGGGCGGGGCCACAATGGGGAATCAAAGTTTTATATAGAAATATATAGGAAAAATCTTTGAAAATCTTCTTCTCAAGAACCACTGGGCCAGAAAAGCTGAAACTTATGTGGAAGCATCCTGGTATAATGCAGATTCTAAATTGTTCAAATAATGACCCCCGGGGGAAGGGCGGGGCCACAATGGGGAATCAAAGTTTTATATAGAAATATATAGGAAAAATCTTTGAAAATCTTCTTCTCAAGAACCACTGGGCCAGAAAAGCTGAAACTTATGTGGAAGCATCCTGGTATAATGTAGATTCTAAATTGTTCAAATAATGACCCCCGGGGGAAGGGTGGGGCCACAATGGGGAATCAAAGTTTTATATAGAAATATATAGGAAAAAATCTTTGAAAATCTTCTTCTCAAGAACCACTGGGCCAGAAAAGCTGAAACTTGTGTGGAAGCACCCTGGTATAGTGTAGATTTTAAATTGTTCAAATCATGACCCCCGGGGGAAGGGCGGGGCCACAATGGGGTATCAAAGTTTTACATAGAAATATATAGGAAAAATCTTTGAAAATCTTCTTCTCAAGAACCACTGGGCCAGAAAAGCTAAAACGTATGTGGAAGCATCCTGGGGTAGTGTAGATTCTAAATTGTTCAAATCATGACCCCCGGAGGAAGGGCGGGGCCACAATGGGGAATCAAAGTTTTATATAGAAATATAAAGGAAAAATCTTTGAAAATCTTCTTCTCAAGAACCACTGGGCCAGAAAAAGTGAAGCTTATGTGGAAGCATTCTGGGGTAGTGTAAATTCTAAATTGTAGGAATCATGACCCCTAGGGGAAGGGCTTCTCAGGAACCACTGGGCCAAAAAAGCTGAAACATATGTGCCCATTGAAGGATCATGTAGTAGTGTAGATTTCAAAATGTCTAACTTATGATCAGTGGGGTAGGGTGGGGATGCATTATGTATAATAAGGGGGAAATCTGGTAAAGAACAGAATGGTCAAAGCTTCTCAGGTGAGCGATGTGGCCCATGGGCCTCTTGTTAGGTTTTTACGTCACCATGCAAAATTAATTCCTTGGTTCTCAGACTTTTTAGGTCACCTGAGTAACTCAGGTGACCTATTGCTATCCGTTTTCGTCCGTCGTCGTGCGTCGTGTGTCGTGTGTTAACATTTGAACATTTTCAGCTTCTTCTCTGAAACCACTGAACCAATTTCAACCAAATTTGGTATACAGCATCTATGGATGGAGGGGAACAAAAATTGTGAATTTCATGGTCCACGTCCCCCTGGGGCCTGAGGGGTGGGGCCAAAACCACTAAAATTATTGCAATCTTTAAAAATCTTCTTCTTTACTCCTGGACATCAAGCAGGCAAACTGTTGGCATGAATGTAATGAGCATTGAGTCCTCTACCAAAATTGTGAAATTCATGGCCCCAGGGTCAGGGGTTCTAGTGCTAGGGCGGGGCTCAATAGATTATATAGTGAAAATGCATTATTTCTTTGAAAATCTTCTTCTCTGCTCCTGGGTATTAAATAAACTAACTAAGCACATAGTTATGATGAGCAAGAGTGCCTCTTCCAGATTTGTGAATTTTATGGACCCAGGGTCACGGGTTCTGGTGT